CCATATGCGTTTGGGTCGTTAGAAGTCTTCAAGTCGCGGCTCAGAAAAACGTTTGAACCGCCTAGAGCTGAGTTCAGAGCTCAAACTGAGCTCTTGAAGCTCAGACAAGGTAAGCGTGATGTGCATGCTTACGCACAACATATACGACATCTCACGAGTTGTATAAGTTCCAACCCGGTTAATGAACACACGTTGGTTTCGGTGTTCATGCAGGGTCTTGCGGATGTTCCCGTCAAGACTCACCCGTTCTGACTTGAACTAGATTCACTAGAACAAGCCATTTCCATTGCGGAACAGGAAGACTTCAGTCTGAGACAGGCTCGCGCCAGCTCGACATCATATCGTACACAGAGACGATATGACAGCGGAGGTCCAGAGCCTATGGAACTCTGCTATGTAGAGAGCGAGAAGGCTCACTCTACAGACTACAAGAAGTTGCAAAAATGCAAAAGATGTCAAAAGACAGGACACTACGCTTACGAGTGTAGTGCCCCTCGTCCAGTGTCTCGCAACACTGGGCGTAGTGACCGTCCACCCATGAGAAAGGGGCAGGGACGCGGGTCCGCCGTTGGTGCAAAGACGCAACAACAGGATGGACCGTCAAAAACGGACAGGATCAGTAGGTGCGGAGCACCCTACTGGTCCAGCAACGTCAAGAGAATTTGTAGGCCTCTTGACGAAGGTTGCTCCCAACACACAAACATTGTGCGTTGCTGCTCTAGGTAATGAGATCTCACTCATTACCTTGAAACTCGAAGTGACAAATAAGTTGTCCCTTCGAGCTCTAGTCGATTGTGGGGCGTCTGACAGTTTTGTGCGACGCAAATCGCTAGAAGATGGTCACTACAAATTTGTTGAATGTGACACACCTCCTACGAAGATGACGGTACGTCTTGCGACAGGCGCATCCGTAACCGTCATGAAGCGTATAGTAAAGATCCACTATACGCTAGAAGATACCCAATATGACGATGACTTTATCGTATTGGATTTGGATGACAAATTTGATGTCATCCTTATAATACCGTGGCTCAGAAGGTACGAACCACGGGTAAACTGGCAACATCAAACAGTAACGATGCCTGCCGTTTGTTCATCAGATGGCCATCTGATGAACGTTTTGGAGCGTCCACAAGCGTGTGGATGTACTACGAGTGAGTGCGATGGCCTCACTTGTGGTACGGTCGTTATTACGACTGCACGAAACCTTAGTATAACAAACGGCTACACTTCGGAGCAAAGTTCCGGCGGCTGTGAGGAAACACAGGCTGCGCCGAAGGTCCACCACTCGAATAAGTCGAGTGGAGTGGGACAAAGATGTATCCCTAGCGGGGAACATCTAGAAGAGAAACAATCGATTGCTCAGGTTAAGCGAAACAATAATCCTAGATCGACTGGAGAGTCTTTCGTAGAGGATCTCGCTGTGGTTGCGCAACCACAGCTAGATGAAGTTAAGGGAATAAGTCCCGATATTACAAATACGGCGGAAATAAGTTCCCCGAAACCCGCGGGAATAAGTCCCAGGGAAGCCGAAGGAATAAGTCCTTTGAGGCCTGAGGAAATAAGTCCCCAGGAAATAATAGAGACATCGAATGTCCTAGTCAATGATGGAACAAGTGTAGGCGCTTACACACTTGATCTGATTGCGCCTCCGAAGTTGACTTCGGAGATCACTCAGTTGCCAACGCTCGAACATAAAAGGTTCTTGCGTGATCTGCGTAGTAGCAAAGTCAAGCAGATCTGCGTACTCGTCGCTAACGACGAGTGTGTAGCCGACACAAGGTCAGCAACAGTGTTTACTGAGAACGAGAGAGTTCTCAGTAGTTCATCTATGGACGAGAGTGTCCTCGATGAAAGACACGAGTTGAGCGATATGACTCCCAATCGTGGGAATCGCTCAAGACAAATCCTCTTTATGAAGATTTGGTTGAATTCAAGGATGTATTCCCTGAAACTGTTCCGTACGAATTACCGAAGGATAAAGGTATTCGACACGAGGTCGAGCTTAAACCAGGCTCGAAGTACTGTGTCATGAAGCAGTGGCCACTGCCTCGTGAACAAGTACTTGCGATCGACAAGTTCTTTGCCGATCGTTTAGCTGCGGGCCATGTGAGGGAATCGACTTCCCCACATAGCTCTCCGATCTTCTGTGTGCGAAAAGCAACAGGAGGGTGGCGGATAGTGCATGCATTTAACAAGTTGAATGCTGCAACGGTACCGGCTCAGACGCCGATACCAAGGAAGGACGTAATCATTGATGGTATGTCAAAGAGTACCATCTTTACGTCCATGGATTTGATGGATGGCTTCTATCGAATCCTTATGCGAGAACGGGACATACCCTATACCGCAGTGAGCACGCCTAGCGGCACGCTCTGGGAATGGCTAGTAATGGCACAAGGGCTTAGTAATGCCCCTGCCACGTTCAACAGATGTGTATCACATCTGTTGAGACCAGTGCGAGAATCCGCACCGAGTTATTTCCATGACGTATTCATCCATAGTCGGGCTATGGATGGAAAGTCGGATGTTGAGGTTCACAGGTACCACGTCCGACAGGTTCTTACAATCATGCAAAAGCATCAATTGTTTGCAAACCTCAAGAAGTGTATATTTGCAGCATGCGAAATACCACTTCTTGGGTGCATCGTTGGTAAGAACGGTGTAGGTCCTGATCCCGAAAAGATCAAGGCGATCACCGACTGGCCTGTGCCGGTTGATGTCAAAGGTCTTCGAAAATTCCTTGGGCTAGCGGCGTATTTGCATAAGTATTCACGCAATTACGCCGAGATGACTGTACACCTCTCTCGTTTGTTGAAAAAGAACGAGAGGTGGCTATGGAACGCTGAATGTCAGCGCTCCTTTGATGATTTCAAGCAGAGCTTGATACAATCCCCAGTCCTAGCAATAGCCGATCAGGACAGGCCATTTCATGTTGTCTGTGATGCCATCGATTTCGCAATCGGCTGCGCATTAATGCAGTACGATCTTGAAGGCGTTGAACGCGTCGTCTGCTATCAGTCGCGTCAGCTGCAACCATCTGAGCGGAACTATCCAGTGCATGACAAGGAACTCCTTGCCATGAAGTATGCACTCGCGAAGTTCAGAGTCTATCTCTTTGGGGATAGACCCTTCATTGTTTATACTGACCATGCGTCATTACGCACGGCAGTGAACAGCCCGCACCTTTCACAACGAATGGCGCGGTGGTTGTCATTCTTTGCAGAATACAACTTTACGGTAGAATACAAACCAGGACGACTTAATGTCGTCGCTGATGCACTCTCACGTCGTCCCGACTTTGAAACAGTCGTGAAACCCAACAGTGAGACAGTCACTGTTGCGGTTATGACGTCCTCAGTCCCATCTACAACGTTGCCTGATGATGTGAGGCGGGCATACGCCCAAGATGGTGAGATTGTGAAGTTGTTGACACATCTCTCCCAACCATCTCGAGAATCGTTGAAACGATTGTCGCCTGCGTATCGATCTGCATCAGATCGATACACTACTCGCAACGGGTTACTGTATTATACAGCCGTTTCTGGTGACACACCATGTGTTGTCATTCCTTATGATACTGATCTGCGTTTGCGGATAATGTTCGAGTATCACGATGCTCCTATAGGAGGACATCGTGGCCGGGAGAAGACATAGCTCACGGTGAGTCGAGACTTTTACTGTCCCCGTCAGTATCAGTTTGTGCGAAAGTATGTTCGCGCATGCGAAGTCTGTCAACGAGTAAAGTCAAGTCCTTCACTGCGTGCACCTTTACAGCCTCTACCGGTTCCGGCTGAGTGCTGGGAATCCATATCAATGGATTTCGTCTTCGGGTTACCCAAAGACGCACGCGGGAATACGGGTATTCTCGTATTTGTTGACAGATTCAGCAAAATGGTACACCTAGTGGCTGTACCAGAGTCAATCACGGCAAGTGGCTGTGCTCGTGTCTTTATCGACACCATCTTCCGACTTCATGGGTTGCCCCGTGAACTCGTATCAGACAGAGACCCACGCTTCACTGCTGATTTCTGGCGTTCCGTGTTAAAATCACTCGGAACGCGCTTGAAGATGTCGACATCTGATCATCCAGAGATGGTCAGACGGAACGTGCCAATCATGTCCTTGAAGAGATACTTCGAGGATACGTACACTCCTTTAAGAGTTGGAGTGAGTTTTTGCCAATGGTAGAGTCTGCCATTAACAACTCGGTGCATGCGTCCACGACACATACACCGTTTTACGTGAATGGCTTGCGCCATCCGCGTGTACCCACCTTACTAGAGTGTAACTCTGTGTTGAGGGGGGAAGGACTCGCGCGAGTAAAAACCGATTTGGTTCACGCTCATCACGCTCTGACGAAGAGGTCATAGCGTTTGATGCCGATATCGATAACATCGATATTGAAGAAGATGATGCCAGTGAGAGTGCGGAATCCCTCACTGAAGGAAAGATTGATGTTGCTGCAGTGCACTCACAGCGCACTGAAGCTAACGAGTCATCAGATGAGTTCATACTGGCTCGTGAAACGGTAGTCCGTTTTGTGCAAGACTCCATCGCCGAAGCGGTGGATAAGCAAAAGCAAAATGCTGACAAGAATGGAAGGGCAAACACTCTTTTATTTAATAAAGGTGACTTAGTCCTACTGTCTACGGTTAATCTACCAAAGCATGTAGTAACTAACTTGGGTAGTAGTAAACTTCTACCCAAGTACATCGGCCCATTTCGTGTATTGCACCGCCTAGGCAATGCATACACGATCGAGTTGCCACGTAAGATGCGAATGCATCCCACATTTTACGTTGGTCGGCTTAAGCCGTACCATCAGTACGCTGCTTCTTCCGATGAAGAACGCCCTTGCGCTCAAGCATCTCACAGAGAGCCTTGTGCTCCCGATGGTGGATGTCGACAAGGGTCCGAAGAGAATTTATCTCAGCTCGAGACCGATCAACATCCCCACGAGCTACCCTTAGCTCGTCACGCAGAGATGTCAGAGCTCTCTAGTTCTCAAGCTGAGCAAAGGCAAACTCAGCTCGATGCTTCGAGACAGTGTCCGCCATTTGGAGACGCCTGTCCCGCTCATGTTCGAGATCGCCGCGTAACGCAATAGTTACGCGATCAAAGATGCTCTCGGAGACACACGCTCCCCCACGATAGTTTGGAGAGCGTTTTTCCTCCTCCTCCACCTCCATTAGAGGACTCTCGCGGTGGCCAGCGCTATCTAGTTGAGCAGCTGTTGAACCACCGCGACGTGAACGGACGTCGGACGAGTTATCTCGTCCGGTGGCGCGGCTATCCCCCGTCCTGGGATACTTGGGAGCCTCACTCCCAACTGATGATCGACGTACTGGGTCTGGTTGAGCAGTACGACGCGGCACATCCTGTGCCGCAGAAGGACCGCCGGAGAAAATCTTCCCGGCACGTTCGTAAAGGGATTTCAGGTTGTTAATCCCTTAGTACATCTTAGTAGAGATTCGTACGCGCCACCATGGGCTGGTAAGGAGGTAGGCATCCTTATGTGCGCGCGCAGAGTTGTTTACACAACAAGAGCATGAGTCTCCCCAGGAGAGACAGGGTAATCCTTTCTCCCTGAACAGACGATGCAGCTTGTAGCGTGCACCTGTCGGGGTTCGCTTTTCAAACTTATCACGAGCTTTGATAAGTTTGTCGTTCCAAACGTCACGACCTACATCCTCAAAGTTATGGATGTAAGCGTTCCACGCTTGAAGTAGTGAGGGACCATCACGCTTGTGATTCCCACTGTACCATCGATGTCTAAAGAAAGCATCGATGAAGAACTCATGTTCAGCGCGATAGTTTTTCGCACTGGGGTTAAGGTGATGGATCCTTGACGAATCGAACAACCGTGTTCGATAACGATCACTCGTCGTCGCCGACAAGCGATCCATGACTGACTTTGGAGGGATCCATGCCTTCTTCTCGGGAGCGAGACGCAACACACTGCGGTCCCGCTCTTGTTGCGACGTACCGACAGAAGTACTGGCACCTTGTTGCAAAGTGGTGTCCATAGGAGAACCGACACCACTATTAGCGCCCGAGTCTCGCGACCTCGAGCGCCTTCGCTTCGGCGATGGTTCATCTGATTCATCAGATGAACCAAAGATGCTGCGGCGCAAAGCATCGTCCATGCCACGCTTGGCAGGCGGCTTGGATTCAATCGCCGTCGATACGGATCCGTCATCCGTATCAGGAGAGTACGAGACACCGAGCTCGTACTCTGTGAAGACACGAGTGTCTTCATGACGAGCGCCTGCATCACCAAGTGACACAGGATGAGACGCTTTAGCAACCGATGAGACATCAGTTGCTGTTGTTTCTGCTTCGGCGTCCGCACAGAGACGCGCAGACGCGCTCTCAGCGGCTTTTTTCGCGCACCGCATGGACTTGTTAACCATGCGATGAAACTGTTGGAACGTGGAATCGGACCTACATGTGCAAATCCCGTCCGAAATGATTTGGGACGAGTATCCATTTAGTTAATCAGTCACTAACGTGACTCATGTTTAGGGGGGGGTGATGTAACGGGGTGAATCGTTACATAACAATTTATAAGGAATGTTAATAGAATATAACGATAAGAGTTACATTCTCAGAATATTTTCACATGGACAAATATTCTGTAGCACTTACGAGTAGTTCCTAATTGGTTGATATAGGCCATCATATCAACCAACGAAGACGCGCCACGACAGACGCACGCAATGAGTGGTGAGCAGATAGTTGATATGCACATTTGTATTTAGACATAGTTAGATGAGGATAAATAGTGATTTATTAACAGACATTAACTATGCTAAATACAGTTCTACTTTTTACTTTAACCAAGTACTCGCTTCTTCTTACCGTCTTCCTCTGCACGTACCAGTGTACGTGAAGTTCCGAGGCACCACCATATTCTGTCATCAGAATAAGTAGCTTGTACTGTCACCAGTACAAGCTTCAGGGTGCTCCATTACAGTTGACCATCCCCCCCGTAAATTATAAAGCGTTCTTGGCCTTCATCGGTGTAGCCACCTTTCTCCTATAAAACGGAATATCGCACCAAAAAGGGGGTGGCAACAGACCATTACGCGGAAAGTAACACTCGGTCTTCACCATGACGCAGGCTCCTCCCTTTAAACAGATGAATTAGAGACCGAGACAGAATAAAGTGAAAAGCGCATTACTAACCCTTACAAGGCGCAAAAGCCTTGCAAGGAATGAAATTATTCGAAAATGAGAGCACACACGAAAGACGACTGATGCCGAATACTCCATAGAGGTTTGGCTTGTTGGCGTCCGTGGTGATGCGTATAAAAGGCGCATCGATCTGCTCAATATTCACTATACTGTGATGCTTTGTGGCCTGTGATCAATCACCTTCACCTAAACATAATGATGTTCGAGTGCAGGGGTGACGGGAGGGCTGCACATCACAGATATAGGTCGCTAGAAGATATTGCGGGATTTCCGGGTGCCAGGGCCCGAATCAGATACAACAGCAGCAAATATTGAGATTCACAATTGGCGAAAGACCACCCTGGCTAATTTGAGTACGACAAGGCAATCTGATCTAGAATGCCATGCCTTAGACAAGACAAACGAGGCAGAAACTTGATCGAGCGGTGTTTAGCCTCGGAGTTAATAACTTTGCGCTGACTTTTGGTAGCAGCGTTGTTAACGAAGCAGGCTAGAGAAACAAAGAAAGATAAACAGTTTGTCTTTGTGGCCACAAACCAAAGTAATGTGGGCTGTATCATTCGACGTGCGTGAAGCACGAGTAGGAACGCTTATGCGAAAATCCTACTATTAAGCTCTACTTGAAACACTGGAGAAATGCCTTTTGGCACGATCTATTGCAAGTCTTTATCGCTCAAGTTACGTGTTCCATTCATGTATGCAGTCTTCACAAAATCGAACAATAACATCGTGGGCCACCACAACTTTTATCACAGTTCTATCATCATGTTTAGAGGGTTTAGCAGTTTCTTTATAGGAGCTTCCTTATTTAAATGGGGTTTGTGGCTAAACCGAAGGGGGGGGTGCGACCATTCCGGATCCCGTCAAGTTCAGTGTATCTTTTTCAGTCAGAGAATACAGAACTTAGAAAGTAAGTTGGCTTTAAGCACATGTGCTGTTGGCTCTCAACATAGTTTGATGCTTTGTGAGCTGGTTGACTACCTGGGTCTCAATCGCCCTTTTAGTTTTCCGAAATTAATGACTCTTTACTCGGTTGATTTAAACTAAGCGGCTTACATCCGAAACTTTTCATCGAACTCAAAAGCTATTGTAGCGCCGCTACATAAATCTTCCGATGATATCACCGTTGACAAGATGCGGAGATGTTCGATGTAGAATGACTCTTGCATTCTTTTTAACCTTAAAAATGAATCAAATCTTGATTCAGGGTCAAGATTAAATTTGTGACCAAAACGTGTTTTACTTGGCCGGAGACTCAACGCAATTCCGCGAAAGGCTACACTTAGCATACCCCGCTCAAATATTGTAATGACGACCCTTCAGTAAATCCGATTAATTTTGGCGGCTTGCGATATTGTAACATCATGTTATCAGCTTTGAACGATTGATCATTGGTTTAAAATACGGTAACAAGTTGCGGAGATCGCTCTTTAATCTAAGTGATTCAGTCCGGAGGACTGGAGTAAGATGCAAAACAGTATGCAACTGAAGTCACGGGAGAAGTAATTTGATGATACAAACGTCTGTAGCAATCCAGTACATTATACTTGGGCAACGGGATCAGCCTTTGCTTATCAGCATCCAGCATTTAATTGTGTGATCGCACTCGCCTTTGATCGATTTTAAGTCATTAACAAGCGTGCGCCGCGGTGGTTACCTTACCAACGAGTGACTTTGTAATTGTCTATATACCTATGTTAGGGATAGGCTGGAATCACCTAGTACGTGTAAAGTACACCTGGTCGCGTATTTACAGACCGACACACACACACATTTACATACAATTTAGAAGTTCGTAATTTAACCTTGCGCACAGTCACTAATAGCTTTACCCTTCGGGCTCGCATTGATTTTATCTGTTGATATGCGACACGGACCAATTGGCGCAATATGGAGTGAAAAGCCACGCACAATGTGCATGTATCCATCTTTAATTTTTAGCCTCGGTGGACACCTATCCTATAAGTTAGCAGATGATCATAGTTATCGGATTATGTTCGCATCGTACATTAGAACATTTACCATTTAAATTACATGTAATAATAATGTAACACAACAAAAGTTAAAGAGATGAAATATGGGAGCCGTCATACGTACCACACCCTTTTATTTATGTACCATATTCCGCAGCAAATTGGACCCAATGTTGTCACTCATAGAAAGGGGTGACTATGGTCATCCCAAATATATAAGCTAGATCTATCAGTTGTGACTATGACTCAATCGGCAATTCATCTCTAGCATTAAATAGGAGAAGACATACGAGAAATAGACAAGACGACCAAGGTCATCAACGTCTCAACGATGAGAGTGTCATCTCTGCCACAAAGATAACGTATGTGTATCAAATACGTATTCGTAATCAGCCTTGAACGTTTAGCGCAGTCGCGGCTAAGCTGTAATGGACGTAAGAGCTGCCAATAGGTAGAACTGGACGCTTCAGTAAGTTTTCTTGCAGTATAATGATGTACAATGTTATGGTTGAAACTGATGAGGATATATGAATACATAACCTGAGTGGACTCATGACAGGAAAAGTGTTTTATTTTTGATTATAGTGGATGCTCATGATGACGCAGTCGTAAAAAATTAGATTCGCAAACAACGCCTAGATGAAACACCGCGGCGAAAAGATGACGACGCTAAAGCTGACGAGCGTACTTTATTGATGAAAAAGAGCGAGTGGTAGTAACTACGTGTGCACAGTCACTGAAAGACGTTTGTGGCGTATAAGTTACAGTTTGTTGCACCAACAGCCAGAGCAAGATCAAATTACTGCTGTCATTCACTGACCGAATGATGCTGACGTGCCAGCGTTACTTCTAGGCAGGGCAAAAGTCAACTCACGGTTCTACTTTTTTTGCTCTGCTCTTCTGCGCTGTTCTGTGTCAAGGTAATTGAATAAACCTGTAACGTTTTTACGATAACGGTGAGAAGGTGCAGATTCTAACTGTTTATTTTCTTCGATGATCTCCTAGGCCCTCACGGCTGGTCGAATGTCGTGGGACCATAGGATTTGGAAAACGTCTCAATCAAGGAAAGAAGCGAATCAGTATGGTCTTTTGAAAATGGATATGGGCACCTTAGAACGCGTGTTGGAGATGGTGTGACGTTGATACACACGAAGCTCGCCATCTTCTACAATGAGACGAAAAGTGCATGTATTCTTAGAGCCAAGTTAATAGTCTTTAGGATGGTAATTCAAATCCTAGTCACTCTACCCTTCATCTACATTGAGGATAATACGATCACGAACAATGTGTTGTTACTATCGGCAATGTGATTATTAGCAGCTGAACGCAGAGGCCCTCTGTAACGGGGAACCCTGAAGCTTGTACTGGTGACAGTACAAGCTACTTATTCTGATGACAGAATGAGGCGGTGCCGCGTAACTGCACGTACACTGGTACGTGCAGAGGAAGACGGTAAGAAGAAGCGAGTACTTGATTAAAGTAAAAAGTAGAACTGTATTTATAATAGTTAATGTCTGCAATAAGTCACTATTTATCCTCATCTGACTATGTCTAAATACAAATGTGCATATCAACTATCTGCTCACCACTCATTGCGTGCGTCTGTCGTGGCGCGTCTTCGTTGGTTGATATGATGGCCTATATCAACCAATTAGGAACTACTCGTAAGTGCTGCAGAATGTTGTCCATATGAAAATATCCTGTGAATGTAACTCTTATAGTTATATTCTATTAACATTCCTTATAAATTGTTATGTAACGATTCACCCCGTTACATCACCCCCCCTAAACATGAGTCACGTTAGTGACTGATTAACTAAATGGATACTCGTCCCAAATCATTTGGGACGGGATTTGCACATGTAGGTCCGATTCCACGTTCCAACAGTTTCATCGCATGGTTAACAAGTCCATGCGGTGCGCGAAAAAAGCCGCTGAGAGCGCGTCTGCGCGTCTCTGTGCGGACGCCGAAGCAGAAACAACAGCAACTGATGTCTCATCGGTTGCTAAAGCGTCTCATCCTGTGTCACTTGGTGATGCAGGCGCTCGTCATGAAGACACTCGTGTCTTCACAGAGTACGAGCTCGGTGTCTCGTACTCTCCTGATACGGATGACGGATCCGTATCGACGGCGATTGAATCCAAGCCGCCTGCCAAGCGTGGCATGGATGATGCTACGCGTCTTAGCATCTTCGGTTAGTCTGACGAACCAGATAAACCATCGCCAAAGCGAAGGCGTTCAAGATCGCAAGACTCGGGCGCTAATAGTGGTGTCGGTTCTCCTATGGACACCACTTTGCAACAAGGTGCCAGTACTTCTGTCGGTACGTCGCAACAAGAGCGGGACCGCAGTGTGTTGCGTCTCGCTCCCGATAAGAAGGCATGGATCCCTTCAAAATTCGTCATGGATCACTTGTCGGCGACGACGAGTGATCGTTATCGAACACGGTTGTTCGATTCGTCAAGGATCCATCACCTTGACCCCAGCGCGAAAAACTATCGCGCTGAACATGAGTTCTTCATCGATGCTTTCTTTAAACATCGATGGTACAGTGGGGATCACAAGCGTGATGGTCCCTCACTACTTCAAGCGTGGAACGCTTACATCCATAACCTTGAGGATGTAGGTCGTGACGTTTGGAACGACAAACTTATCAAAGCTCGTGATAAGTTTGAAAAGCGAACCCCGACAGGTGCACGCTACAAGCTGCATCGTCTGTTCAGGGAGAAAGGATTACCCTGCCTCTCTTGGGGAGACTCATGCTCTTTTTGTGTAAACAACTCTGCGCGCGCACATAAGGAGGCCTACCTCCTTACCAGCCCATGGTGGCGCGTACGAATCTCTACTAAGATGTACTAAGGGATTAACAACCTGAAATCCCTTTACGAACGTGCTGGGAAGATTTTCTCCGGCGGTCCTTCTGCGGCACAGGATGTGCCGCGTCGTACTGCTCAACCAGACCCAGTACGTCAATCATCAGTTGGGAGTGAGGCTCCCAAGTATCCCAGGACGGGGGATAGCCGCGCCACCGGACGAGATAACTCGTCCGACGTCCGTTCACGTCGCGGTGGTTCAACAGCTGCTCAACTAGATAGCGCTGGCCACCGCGAGAGTCCTCTAATGGAGGTGGAGGAGGAGGAAAAACGCTCTCCAAACTATCGTGGGGGAGCGTGTGTCTCCGAGATCATCTTTGATCGCGTACCTATTGCGTTACGCGGCGATCTCGAACATGAGCGGGACAGGCGTCTCCAAATGGCGGACACTGTCTCGAAGCATCGAGCTGAGTTTGCCTTTGCTCAGCTTGAGAACTAGAGAGCTCTGACATCTCTGCGTGACGAGCTAAGGGTAGCTCGTGGGGATGTTGATCGGTCTCGAGCTGAGATAAATTCTCTTCGGACCCTTGTCGACATCCACCATCGGGAGCACAAGGCTCTCTGTGAGATGCTTGAGCGCAAGGGCGTTCTTCATCGGAAGAAGCAGCGTACTGATGGTACGGCTTAAGCCGACCAACGTAAAATGTGGGATGCATTCGCATCTTACGTGGCAACTCGATCGTGTATGCATTGCCTAGGCGGTGCAATACACGAAATGGGCCGATGTACTTGGGTAGAAGTTTACTACTACCCAAGTTAGTTACTACATGCTTTGGTAGATTAACCGTAGACAGTAGGACTAAGTCACCTTTATTAAATAAAAGAGTGTTTGCCCTTCCATTCTTGTCAGCGTTTTGCTTTTGCTTATCCACCGCTTCGGCGATGGAGTCTTGCACAAAACGGACTACCGTTTCACGAGCCAGTATGAACTCATCTGATGACTCGTTAGCTTCAGTGCGCTGTGAGCGCACTGCAGCAACATTAATCTTTCCTTCAGTGAGGGCTTCCGCACTCTCACTGGCATCATCTTCTTCGATATCGATGTTATCGATATCGGCATCAAACGCTATGACCTCTTCGTCAGAGCGTGATGAGCGTGAACCAAATCGGTTTTTACTCGCGCGAGTCCTTCCCCCCTCAACACAGAGTTACACTCTAGTAAGGTGGGTACACGCGGATGGCGCAAGCCATTCACGTAAAACGGTGTATGTGTCGTGGACGCATGCACCGAGTTGTTAATGGCAGACTCTACCATTGGCAAAAACTCACTCCAACTCTTAAAGGAGTGTACGTATCCTCGAAGTATCTCTTCAAGGACATGATTGGCACGTTCCGTCTGACCATCTCTGGATGATCAGATGTCGACATCTTCAAGCGCGTTCCGAGTGATTTGAACACGGAACGCCAGAAATCAGCAGCGAATCGTGGATCTCTGTATGATACGAGTTCACAGGGCAACCCATGAAGTCGGAAGATGATGTCAATAAAGACGCAAGCACAGCCACTTGCCGTGATTGACTCTGGTACAGCCAATAGGTGTACCATTTTGCTGAATCTGTCAACAAATACGAGAATACCCGTATTCCCGCGTGCTTCTTTGGGTAACCCGAAGACAAAATCCATTGAGATGGATTCCCAGCACTCAGCCGGAACCGGTAGAGGCTGTAAAGGTGCACGCAGTGAAGGACTTGACTTCACTCGTTGACAGACTTCGCATGCGCGAACATACTTTCGCACAAACTGATACTGACGGGGCCAGTAAAAGTCTCGACTCACCGTGAGATATGTCTTCTCACGGCCACAATGTCCTCCTATAGGAGCATCGTGATACTCGAACATTATCCGCAAACGCAGATCAGTATCATAAGGAATGACAACACATGGTGTGTCACCAGTAACGGCTGTATAATACAGTAACCCGTTGCGAGTAGTGTATCGATCTGATGCAGATTGATACGCAGACGATAATCGTTTCAACGATTCTCGAGATGGTTGGGAGAGATGTGTCAACAACTTCAATATCTCACCATCTTGGGCATACGCCCGCCTCACATCATCATACAACTTTGTAGATGGGACTGAGGACGTCATAACCGCAACAGTGACTGTCTCACTGTTGGGTTTCACGACTGTTTCAAAGTCGGGACGACGTGAGAGTGCATCAGCGACGACATTAAGTCGTCCTGGTTTGTATTCTACCGTAAAGTTGTATTCTGCAAAGAATGACAACCACCGCGCCATTCGTTGTGAAAGGTGCGGGCTGTTCACTGCCGTGCGTAATGACGCATGGTCAGTATAAACAATGAAGGGTCTATCTCCTAAGAGATAGACTCTGAACTTCGCGAGTGCATACTTCATGGCAAGGAGTTCCTTGTCATGCACTGGATAGTTCCGCTCAGCTGGTTGCAGCTGACGCGACTGATGACGCGTTCAACGCCTTCTAGGTCGTACTGCATTAATGCACAGCCGATTGCGAAATCGCTGGCATCACAAACCACATGAAATGGCCTGTCCTGATCGGCTATTGCTAGGACTGGGGATTGTATCAAGCTCTGCTTGATACCATCAAAGGAGCGCTGACATTCAGCGTTCCATAACCACCTCTCGTTCTTTTTCAACAAACGAGAGAGGTGCACAGTCATCTCGGCGTAATTGCGTGAATACTTATGCAAATACGCCGCTAGCCCAAGGAATTTTCGAAGACCTTTGACATCAACCGGCACAGGCCAGTCGGTGATCGCCTTGATCTTTTCGGGATCAGGACCTACACCGTTCTTACCAACGATGCACCCAAGAAGTGGTATTTCGCTTGCGGCAAATATACACTTCTTGAGGTTTGCATACAATTGATGCTTTCGCATGATTGTAAGAACCTGTCGGACGTGGTACCTGTGAACCTCAACATCCGACTTTCCATCCATAGCTCGACTATGGATGAATACGTCATGGAAATAACTCGGTGCGGATTCTCGCACTGGTCTCAACAGATGTGATACACACCTGTTGAACGTGGCAGGGGCATTACTAAGCCCTTGTGGCATTACTAGCCATTCCCAGAGCATGCCGCTAGGCGTGCTAACTGCGGTATAGGGTATATGCCGTTCCCGCATTAGGATTTGATAGAAGCCATCCATCAAATCCATGGACGAAAAGATGGTACTCTTTGACATACCATCAATGATTACGTCCTTCCTCGGTATCGGCGTCTGAGCCGGTACCGTTGCAGCATTCAATTTGTTGAACGCGTGCACTATCCGCCACCCTCCTGTTGCTTTTCGCACACAGAAGGTCGGAGAGCTATGTGGGGAAGTTGATTCCCTCACATGGCCCGCAGCTAAACGATCGGCAAAGAACTTGTCGATCGCAAGTACTTGTTCACGAGGCAGTGGCCACTGCTTCATGACACAGTACTTCGAGCCTGGTTTAAGCTCGACCTCGTGTCGAATACATTTATCCTTCGGTAATTTGCACGGAACAGTTTCAGGGAATACATCCTTAAATTCAACCAAATTCTTATAGAGAGGATTTGTCTTGAGCGATTCCCACGATTGGGAGTCATATCGCTCAACTCGTGTCTTTCATCGAGGACACTCTCGTCCATAGATGAACTACTGAGAACTCTCTCGTTCTCAGTAAACACTGTTGCTGACCTTGTGTCGGCTACACACTCGTCGTTAGCGACGAGTACGCAGATCTGCTTGACTTTGCTACTACGCAGATCACGCAAGAACCTTTTATGTTCGAGCGTTGGCAACTGAGTGATCTCCGAAGTTAACTTCGGAGGCGCAATCAGATCAAGTGTGTAAGCGCCTACACTTGTTCCATCATTGACTAGGACATTCGATGTCTCTATTATTTCCTGGGGACTTATTTCCTCAGGCCTCGAAGGACTTATTTCTTCGGCTTCCCTGGGACTTATTCCCGCGGGTTTCGGGGAACTTATTTCCGCCGTATTTGTAATATCGGGACTTATTCCCTTAACTTCATCTAGCTGTGGTTGCGCAACCACAGCGAGATCCTCTACGAAAGACTCTCCAGTCGATCTAGGATTATTGTTTCGCTTAACCTGAGCGATCGATTGTTTCTCTTCTAGATGTTCCCTGCTAGGGATACATCTTTGTCCCGGTCCACTCGACTTATTCGAGCGGTGGACCTTGGGCGCAGCCTGAGTTTCCTCTCAGCCGCCGGAACTTTGCTCCGAAGTGTATCCATTTGTTACACTAAGGTTTTTTGCAGTCGTACTAACGACCTTACCACAAGTGAGGCCATCGCACTCACTCGTAGTACATCCACACGCTTGTGAACGCTCCAACACGTTCATCAGATGGCCATCTGATGAACAAACGGCAGGCATCGTTACTGTTTGATGTTGCCAGTTTACCCGTGGTTCGTACCTTCTGAGCCACGGTATTCCAAGGATGACATCAAATTTGTCATCCAAATCCAATACGATAAAGTCATCTTCATATTGGGTATCTTCTAGCGTATAGTGGATCTTTACTATACGCTTCATGACGGTTACGGATGCGCCTGTCGCAAGACGTACCGTCATCTTCGTAGGAGGTGTGTCACATTCAACAAATTTGTAGTGACCATCTTCTAGCGATTTGCGTCGCACAAAATTGTCAGACACCCCACAATCGACTAGAGCTCGAAGGGACAACTTATTTGTCACTTCGAGTTTCAAGGTAATGAGTGATATCTCATTACCTAGAGCGGCAACGCACAATGTTTGTGTGTTGGGAGCAACCTTCGTCAAGAGGCCTACAAATTCTCTTGACGTTGCTGGACCAGTAGGGTGCTCCGCACCTACTGATCCTGTCCGTTTTTGACGGTCCATCCCGTTGTTGCGTCTTTGCACCAATGGCGGACCCGCGTCCCTGCCCCTTTCTCATGGGTGGACGGTCACTACGCCCAGTGTTGCGAGACACTGGACGAGGGGCACTACACTCGTAAGCGTAGTGTCCTGTCTTTTGACATCTTTTGCATTTTTGCAACTTCTTGTAGTCTGTAGAGTGAGCCTTCTCGCTCTCTACATAGCAGAGTTCCATAGGCTCTGGACCTCCGCTGTCATATCGTCTCTGTGTACGATATGATGTCGAGCTGGCGCGAGCCTGTCTCAGACTGAAGTCTTCCTGTTCCGCAATGGAAATGGCTTGTTCTAGTGAATCTAGTTCAAGTCAGAACGGGTGAGTCTTGACGGGAACATCCGCAAGACCCTGCATGAACACCGAAACCAACGTGTGTTCATTAACCGGGTTGGAACTTATACAACTCGTGAGATGTCGTATATGTTGTGCGTAAGCATGCACATCACGCTTACCTTGTCTGAGCTTCAAGAGCTCAGTTTGAGCTCTGAACTCAGCTCTAGGCGGTTCAAACGTTTTTCTGAGCCGCGACTTGAAGACTTCTAACGACCCAAACGCATATGGGTCGTGCAACTTGAGTCCCAAATCCCAAGTATTGGCACGTCCTGCCAGATTTGATTGGGCAAATGCAACTTGCATATCCCCGTCGTCGATTCGACGCGCCTTTATGGCGTCATCCAATTCGACGAACCATCTCAAGAGGGAGTCCTCTTCGACTCCCCTATACTTGGAGATGTCAATCTTCAAGGTTTCGGGTCGACGCGAGTGCATCGACCCACCAGCAGCAGCCTGCTGCTGTCTCAACAGTTTAAACTGTTGAGCACCCTGTTCTCTCAACAACTCTGCTTGTTGAGAACCTTGTTGGTGAAGCAAGGCTACTTTCTCGCGTTCAGCGTCAAGTTCATTTTGAATGAACTTGGCGATAGTAGCATGTCGGGCATCTCTATTGAGAGCCTCTAGCATGACGCTAACAGCATGGATGCCCATGGTTGAACCCATCCGTTCAACCGCATCCCATTCGACATCGCTCATATGGGAGAAGCCGTCACGCGTAGCGTAAAAGCTTTGGTCATTTTCATCATCCAACATATTCATGTTAGATGTGAACGTGGTCCTTGGAAGGACTACGAGGTGCTACCAGGTGTAACGGGGCACTCCCAAGCTTGTACCTGTGAAAGTACAAGCTACTTGTTCTGATGACAGAATGAGGCGGTGCCGCGTAACTTCACGTACACTCGTACGTGCAGAGGAAGACGGTAAGAAGAAGCGAGTACTTGATTAAAGTAAAAAGTAGAACTGTATTTATAATAGTTAATGTCTGCAATAAGTCACTATTTATCCTCATCTAACTATGTCTAAATACAAATGTGCAAATCAACTATCTGCTCACCACTCATTGCGTGCGTCTGTCGTGGCGCGTCTTCGTTGGTTGATATAATGGCCTATATCAACCAATTAGGAACTGCTCGTAAGTGCTGCAGAATGTTGTCCATGTGAAAATATTCTGAGAATGTAACTCTTATCGTTATATTCTATTAACATTTCTTATAAATTGTTATGTAACGCTTCACCCCGTTACACCCTCAATCATCACATACGATTTGGACAACCCATCAACACTTGGTCTTCTGTTTTTTGTCTGATAGAAATCTAGGTACTTAAGCCAAAGCGGTGCTTGCATTCTGCCCGCACTACAGACAAGCCTGAATACTGCAAATTGATTTCAAATAAAGATACTCGCGCATGAAAACAGTGTGTCTCATTCTTGACACGTTCTGAACGTACTACATAAGCTTTCCAACACTAGTAGTAATTGTAACATCATACTTAGTAAAAAGAATGCAAAGTACCAGAGAAGACAAAAATGGAAACAAGGAAGCTTCGATAGTCTTCGATGTCGAACGGGACAGGTTCGAATATTATGTCCTTCCTTGTGGCACTCTACACATTTCGCTTCCGTCTTCTAAGTAGTCTAGATGTCGCACCCTCAGTAATTACATGTTTGAATACCGAGGTATATATGTATGTCGACTTTTGTGAGGAAAACTTGGTACTTACCTGCGGTCTACCACGCCCACAAACCGTAGCGGGATAACTACATAGCCATGCTATCGCCTTTGAATATATCGGTTAACATGATACGAAAGACGGGATGCTGATGTGAAGCAAGGTTTGCATACATTTCCGCAATTTTCTCATGGTATTGTCGAGTAAAGTTTTTAATACGGCACCATCCACTGAACAAAGATTGTTGCGGCCACCAGTGATGCAGTAAATCTGTCATCCGTGGTGTTTTACCATCGGCTATTATGCGCTTCATCATATGACAGTACGGTATTTCCACAATTGTCGTTAGGATTTAGTGCAAGCAGGAGAATTAGCCGGCAGTGCGAGCTGACGTCGACCAAACGCTCTTTCAAAGCTTCGCATAAACTTTCTTCACCACGTCCGAATAAAATTCTGAAAGTGTCTCGGTTGAGCACTTGCCTTTTGGAAGGACATATGACGACTGGTCTGAGCCTTCATCTGAGTGTGATGCTACATCATTTTGTCGCAAACTCATCCATAATCTGCTGTTAAAGAAAATCCTCCGCCAAGAAAGTGATACACGAAAGGTGCGTTTGGACGATTACTTATTCGCGATGGAGCGATTGGTAATGAACGACGTAGTGATTTTTAAATTTGCATTATAGCGGTACGATTGAGTAGTCGAAGAAATCAGTAGGATTAGACTAGAAAAACATTTTGCGAGCTGAGGAACTGATATTTCACTTCTCATTTCGCCAATCATCGAGCACTCATACTTTTTAACAGGTTGTGAGCTCAAGTCTCGTCTTACTTGAATCTGACTAGGACTTTCCCTCGACATGGACGCCTCCGCTCCCAACCGCATCATCAAGTTCGACGGAACAACGTTTTTTACGTGGGAGTTCAAGATGAGGATGGTGCTGGAGGAGCGTAACCTATGGGAAGTGGTGAGATCAAGATGGAACAGTTCGTCACGCAGTTGGATAAGGGGACGTTTAAGCGCAAGTCCCGCAAGGCACTATCATTCTTACATCTGTCTCGCGATGTAGGATCCGCACTGCCGTTGGTCCGGTATGCGAGTGGAGCGCATGATGCATGGTCGCGGCTGGAATGATATTTTGAGAAGCAGAGCCTCGCGAACAAGCTCTTTCCTCGTCATCTCTTCTATACGGCCAAGATGGATTAAGACGCGGATTTGTTGAAAAATATTGAGACGATAAAGATGCTGGCGGAGCAGCTCGACGCAGTGGGCGCTCTGGTCAGCGAGGAAGACCATTTGATTACGCTCCTCACACGTCTCATCGAGTCGTACGAATTCCTCATTACGGCGTTAGATTCAGTAGCCGACTCGCTGTCGTGGGACTTCGTCACGTACCGACTGCTGCAGGAAGATCTCAAGCGCAAGGAACAAGGCTTTGAAGGAGAGACGGACGGACAAAGTCAAGCGTTTATAAACCAAAACATTGGCTAGATCTTCGGACAACAAGCTTGAGAAAAAATTAGCACCGCCTGTCACTACTGTGGGGAGCACGAACATTAGATCATTAAGTGTCCAACCTGGATCCGGGAGAAAGCAGGACGGCAGCGGTCACAGCGTACCAAACTTGCGCCGAGAAACGATAGCCAAAGTTACTAAATGTTTTCGATTGGAGAGGTCACATGCTCAGCTATATCAAGATGCCTGTGGCTGGTTGAATCGGGTGCACCAGAGCACATGATGTTCTCGGAAGAGTTTATGAAGAATAACAATAATCCTGTGGACGTTCACCTCGTGAACGGCGGTGTGCTTTAAACATTTTAAACGGGTGACATCATTAAGTCGATGAAGACGTCAAGAGGAGTGAAGAAGGTTGTGCTTACATCAGTGTGACCCTTTTTTAAACTGTCACGCAACATGTTCTTCGTGGGGAGTTTCACTAAGGATGTTGGCCCGGTCACGTTCGAGTAAGATGGGTCCTTTGCTGCAGCAAAAGGTCTTCGCTGTAAGCTCTGTGCACGCGAAGGCAAATGACTTTTCGAGTTGTGCATGGAGTCTATTTTTTTTACCAAGCCACTATGACTTGCTCGTTGGGATGTCATGGGCTCACCACTTCATACCTCTGGCACCTCCGACTGAATCACATTGGCTATGACGGTCTGTCCACTATAGTCACCCAAGGCGTTGGCACTGGTACCAAGTTGACATCGTCGCGCTAGTGGAAACTGTGTGATGGCTGTGAACTCGGCAAGCAGACACGGGTGCACTTTGTGAATTTTGCCAAGGAAGTGCTCGGAGTCATCCATAGCGACATTTGTGGCCCTGTGCAGACCGAAACATTTAGTGACAAGCGCTACTTCGTCACTTTCATTGACGAGAAGTCGCATTATTGAGTCACCTACCTGCTAAATATCAATTCAGAGGTGTCCGACAAATTCGCTTACTTCGTTGCGCTGGCCGAAAACAAGACCAGCATGCGTGTGAAAACGCTTCGGTGTGATAATGCGGGGAATAAACTTCTGGTTTGATTGCCAAATTCTGTGCAGAAAACGGCATTGCACTGAAACTCAGGCTTTTTTGATGGAGTTGTCGAGCACATGAACCGCACACTGGTCGAATGGGGTTCCTGCATGCTGATGCACGCTGATTTGCCGAAGTCATATTCTACGGAAGACGTCATGACTGCGACATTTCTGCGCAACTGATTCCCATCACGTGCGGTCGGTCACGACATGTAGCCGTACCAAGTTGGGACTGATAAGAAAGCCCTACTGGCGAACCTGTAGGGTTTCGTTTGCCATGCGTACGTCCAAGTGCTCAAACAAAAAAACTAGAAATTTGACGCTCGCTACTTGCTCAGTCAATTTCTTGGCTATTCCGAGCATGGACAAGCGTACCTATTCAAAGACATTGAAAATAGTCGTGTGAGGACGAGTCGTGAAGCACGGTTCATGGAGAACGTCTTCGGTCACTTACAGCGCAGTAGCACATTTGTCGCTCCAGATGAAATGGTGGTCGATGAAACTTCGTTTGAAACTGATCAGACTGACCAAGACACAAACGAAGCTGCGTTTAATCAAGATGTCATGCCAAGCAGTGCCAAGAATACAAAGCTCTAAGCCCCACCTGAAGTCGACTTCGAGCATAGAATCAAGCGGCATCCTCGCCATCAATCACTAAAACATGCAGTGTAGATTTCCTGGGTCGAGTACCAGTTATTCACCGATCTCTTGGCGCGATGTCCACGACAGCTCGAGAATTCGACACCGCGTTTATTGATTCAGTAAAGGAAATGCTGACAACGTTAAGTTGCCTACAAGGATGACTGCGACCCCGAGGTGGCATCATTGCGCAAGAACAAGAATAGGAAAATAGTGCCACTTTCACAAGGTCGCAAGGCAATAGGTTGTCGATAGATCTTTAGGATCAAGGAGAATCAAGATGGCGAGATCAAGAAATTTAAGGTGCGACTATTTGTCTAGGGTTTCTCGTAGAAGTATGGTTTTGACTATGTAAAAACGTTTAATCCGGTGGCCAAGCTCACATCTATCCAGATCCTGTACAGTTTGTCGGCCTAATAAAAGTTGAAGGTGCACCAAATGGACGTCAAAACAGCTTTCCTGAACAAATTACTCGACGAAGACATTTAAATACTTCAGCCCGACAAATACGCTGAAAAACTTAAGCCGGACTACGTCCGTCAGCTCATGCGCCCTCTCCACGTATTTTATAATTCTCCGCGCATAGGTAATCATACCATTGACAAATTCATTTTCGAGAAAGTGTTCAGGAAGTGCAAGAATGATCACTTTATCTACGCCAAGTAAGGAGGCAAAGACATTAGTTTCGTGGCGCTTTACGTCGATAACATGGTTCTCGCATGTAACAACAACGAAATGCTTTGAATGAAGAAGAAGGCTCTGTGAAACAATTTAAGATGACATATCTCAGCCGACTAAAGTGCTTATTGGGCATGGATATTGAGCAATATCTCAGTTGCGGTGATTTTGCTTGTTAAACCAGGTTTGACGCAGACACACTGGAGAAATTTGGCATGGAGTCAGCGACCCCGTCAAGACACCGCAAACTGCCGGAACTGAGTTGATCAAGAGCATGTGCGAAGAAGGATGCGACCATGAAGCGACCATGGCACATGCCCCCCTTATCAAAATGCTGTCGGCTGCCTCTTTAATCCAATGGTTATGACCCGAACAAATATGGATGCCGCAGTAGGAGCCCTCAGCCAGTTTGCTTCGGACCCGTGCCCAAAAAATTGGCAGGCACTCAAGAGGGTCTCAAGATGTGTACAAGGGACGAAGACACATGTCATCGAATTCCAAGCCAAGGACCTTCTGGAATCGAAGGATATTCGCGTTTGGACTGTTCTGGTGACGTGGACACTCGACGAAGCACAAGGGGTTTACAAATTGATAATGAATGGCAAGTGCATCAGCTGGAGAAGCAAGATGCAACGCACTGTTGCACTGTCTTCAGCGAAAGCAGAATACATGGGCGTTTCATAAACTCTTTTTAAAAGCGATTTGGCTGAAGGCATTCCTGTGCGAGCTTGACGAGATGTCACTCTACGAAGTGGTCAAAATTTATAAAGATAACCAAGAATCGACAGGATTAAATTAAGAACCAGGAGTGCCACAAGCGTACCAAGAACATCAATATTCGCCATGAATTCATGCGGGAGAAAGTTTGAAGACGTTCAGGTAGTGGTGTAATACTGCTCGAAGAAGGACATGGAGGCCGAATTGATGATTAAGCCAACCAGCGCGGTGCAGTTTGAAGGTCCCCGGAACAAGTTGGGGATCAAGGTACCAAGGTCTGCTGAGTCGAGTGGGAGATATGTTGCAGAAACCCATCGGCCTAAAAAGTGATGCATTAAAGGTGCGTATGGAAGATTACAAATGCGCGACGTCACGATTAGTAATGCGCCACGTTGCGATGAGTAATTCACGATGTAAAAACTAATGCGCAATATTGAGATCACGATTGTGTGGTCGAAGAATCCATTAAGCCTAGACCAGCAAAAGAGATTGCGAACGACTTATTTTGATTTAGTCACTTTGCATTTTTTACAATCATCAAGCGCTCGACCTTTTCAATAAGATCACTACTGAATACCTTTAATCAATTCTTCATAGTTGCGTGCCCGCTCTCGACTCGCATGCCACAAGCAGAATGTAATGAGAAAATGAAAATGCTATATCTTAAAAAACATTTGTTTGTGTGGCAGCCATGTTTAATTTAGGTAAGAAGTGACAACAAAATGATGCTCGACTATGCCGCTTGCTATTCCTAGTCAAAAACTAACTAGGTCACCGTATTACAGAGCATGTTCCAGTCACCCATAAAGTCTTTCCATTCCTTAGATGCAGCAAACTACTAATTCAGACTCGCCAGCACTTTTCTATTAGCGTGCCATATGAAAATCAAGTTGTGGGCAGCGGTAAAACGCTTTGATTGCGTTCATAAGTGCGACATCTCTGATACAACGAAAAAACTCGCACTGAATCTGTTGAGAGTTTGTACGAGATCTCTCAGTTGCCTAACTGCCCACAAATAATCGTCCTTCGTCTCTGCATCCATGAAGATGCAAGTGAGATCGACTGATTTGTTGCCGTTCCGCTCATGATGTACAGTAGAGTCATATGTTATTTGTTATTTTTGTACGTTGAGTCCAAAAGACGAACGTAGTTTGCAGAATTATCTTTCGCAATAAGTACAGCGGAGTCCGGCGCAATGAAAAGGTATGCAAGCCCGTCTATGGTATCTCTACATTACTAATGGATTCCGTTGTTCTCAAACAGCATTTCTAAAAAATCATTCAAGCGTAGGCGACCAGCAAGAAACTCGTTCTTAGCTTTTGCTAGATATCACAGATATCCGAAAGGATGTCTTTGGAGGATGGTTCGGTCTGTCGTAGGGTAATCAGTATTGCTTTTGGATGGACTCCTGCTTTACACATCTGTTCAAGCTTCAACGGATACTCGTCGCTTAGGGTCATTGCCGCTGCTTATGTTGCAACATCTTCTGATTCTGCATGGTTATGCGTATTATTATCAGCCGTTAAAGTGAATGAGCCGTCTGACTCATTTTGTCGCAGTGTTGCCTGTAAAGGGCAGCGGGTTCGCGAGGTGCTAGTACTGCAGACCCCCTGCCCTTATCATCTGTGTGCCCCACCATGTACGCAGTAAAAAAACACCAAGTTTGATCATTCCAGCCTTTCTGTAGCCACAGGTTCGAAATCTTCCACATTTGAATTTGCATCTTTCTGCTGTTGCATGAGCATTAATCTATTCCATGCTGTATCAAGGGACGAGAAAGTTGCAACAGCCAGTGGTGTTAGCAACATGGTGAAGTGGTCTCGTTAACGTCGTTGGGGTCATGTGGAATGAAAAATAGATAATATACACTTACTCTTAAAAAACTTTTAAATCTACCTTGGGTTGTGGTACAATGATAGAAAGGTTGGTCCTTTAAAC